CCCTCTAATCACATGGTTGATTCTCCTGGCAACCAGCCCTCCATCCTCAGGCACTTTCCAAAAGTCACCTCTTTAATATAACAAAAGACACCTTTCTGTTCTCTTCACTTAGGAAATTCCAAGGGTTTTAAAAACTTTGTGCCAGGAAGGGGTAAGACCAAATATATATTTCTTGTTATAAATCACAGTATCACAGTTGGCTAAGGTTCTTCTGGAGTAAATCAGCCTCACTAGCTTAAGCAACAAAAGACAGCTTAGTGGAAGGATCCTGGGGTGTGTCATGGAATTCCAGGGTCAGAAGGAGTAAGAAGCAGGGAATTGTGGGGAACCACAGCAGCTGGAGCTTAGGGGCTTGCTCTTCAGACTACACATTAACAAGACTCCATCTTTATCTCTCACCTTCACTCTTTGCTGTGTGTGTCCATGTGCAGGCTTTCCCTCCTTCCCAGACAACATGACTGAAAATAGACTCAGCAGGCAGCTTCAAGTACATGTCACCGTTCAGCCATTTTGAAAGAGAAGGCATGTATGCGCTCTTTCTCTGTCTCTCTCTCTCTCCCTCTCCCTCTCCCTCTCTCTCTCTCTCTTCACCAAATTGCAAATCCTGGGAAGGAACTGACTGATCCACTTGGATCATGTGTTTACTCCTGGACCAGTCAGCTGTAGCCAGGGATGGTGCTATAAACACAAACGTAACCCACTCTAACCACCCCTGGTGTAACCTGCACATGAGGGGTGTGAACGTTCCCAGAGAGGGGCTGCCTAAACAGTCCTGTAGTAGTTTTCATCCAAATGAGCATATAAACAAGGACAAATGTAGCTTATAGGAAAGACCAAGCCCACAATGGGCTCCCAACAACGACAGCAGCATCAACCTATGATCAAACTACAAAAAGAATAAAGAAAAGATAGGCTGTAAAATATCAACAAATGTCAAGGAGAAAGTAGAACTAAGAATTCCAAGTTCATCATTCTGGAGAATCTCTTCCAATAGAAAGGATGGGATGGACAAGCCTAAGACGGCACTCATTGCCTTCTGTCTCACCGCAATAAATAAACAGAACACCCACAAAACTGTAAATGTTATATTTGGTGTTTATTCAAACCCCATGCTCTTCTACATCATTATGTGGCCTCATCATAAATCCAAGGTCAGTCTTAAGTTCAAAAGATCTGTTTTAGTTCATGAACTCACTTGATAGCACAGATGAGGGAGAAAATTATGGGTTATCTTGTCCATAAGCTCATTACAAGTTCCCGGTAATAAGACCTAACTGCCAAAGAGCATTGAACATACGCTTTAAAAAAGAGGAGGTTGTGTGTGTGTGTATGTGTGTGTGTGTGTGTATGAATAACATTTGGGAAGTATAGAAAAGCACAAAGAAGAAAGTAGAAGTTTAGCCATGATTTCCCAAGGCAGCGCCAACTTCTATGAATGTTTTGGTGGATCCCCTTCCAGCCATTTATGCTCATGTGCGTGAGGTCCTCTGTTTTCAGTACAGTGTTCTTTTCTCTACTGTGCAGTTGAAGCCAGTGCCACCCCACGTCTGGTCTGCAGTCTGGCAGCACCACCATGCCCCGGAATCTTGCCAGAGATCATCTCTCTTCTTGGCCCTACTCCAGACCTACAGAATTCAATCTCTCAGGCTGGGGACCAGGCATCTGTGTTCCCACAAGCCCTCTGGGTGACTCAGATGTACAGGAAAGCTTGAGAAATGCTGGTCTGTACCTTTGCTACTCAAAATGTGCTCTGTGGACCGTTCCTGGACTAGGACAGGAGTAATACAAAACTGGAGAGGGAGCACCTGGGAACGTTTATGTTAATTCGATATGGCTGTGACATCCAAGCATGAAAGTTTTATTTTATTTTATACAACCAGTCCACAGGACTCCTTAAAAAATGGAGAAACGGAAGTTCATGATTGGTGCCTGTAGGGAAAGGCAGGAATTGTCAATGAGGCTGTATTTTTTTATTTGAAAACAATATCCAAAATCACCAACAAAGAAGAACTGGTCTTTGGCAGCAGATAGTTTGAGAAGCACTGGTCTACTCCATCTCTGTGTGTTTGTTTGTTTGTTTCTTTCTTTCTTTCTTAACATTTATTTCTTTATTTTGAGAGAGAGAGAGAGAGTGAGCAGGGGAAGGCCAGAGAGAGAGGGAGAGAGAGAATCCAAAGCAAGCTCCACACTGTCAGCGCAGAGCCCAAAAAGCAGGGCTCGATCTCACCATGAGATCGTGACCTGAGCCTAAATCAAAAGTCAGACGCTTAACCAACTGAGCCACCCCGGCACCCCCATCTGTGTTTCTTTTTAGACAAAACTTTTGTTCCAAGGAGGACTCTGCCACAACTGGCAGCCAGTTGCAAGGGTGGCTTCTAAAATGAGTGCCTGCTCGTTTTGCTGGAAGTGGGAAAATTTGAACTTGGTGTGGAGGGCGAAGCAGGAGTAGACTTCGGCCTTTCATTAGGAACAAAGGAAGCCACTGTAGGATTTTAAAGCAGAGAAATGGCTTGATCAGACTTGTTCTTTGAAATGAGTGAGCAGGACTGGGCACCGGAAAGTGAGTTGAGGGGGTTGCCATTGCCTGGTCAAAAGTTGATGGCAGTTTAGGGTGGTGGTGGTGGGGACAAAGAAAAGTCAACAGATTCAAGAGATTTTGTTGAAAGTGAAACTTGAATACAGGTGTCAGGAGATCTGGGAGAGGATTAGCTCATTCCGTGGTTTGCCTTTGCTTCCTATATGCCTTAATACTGATGGTTTTTCAAGATAATCAGGTTTCTGTGCTATTTATTTAAATAAATGATAGGTAAGTGGTTGGATAGCTTCTATTTGCTTTTATCACACAGTCTGCTTGCTGTCAGTTCTGCACATTACTTTGACTTTACCTGAATACCAAGAGAACATGTTTCCAGTCTTAATTTACTATAGAAAGTCTGGTTATTGGCCCTTTTTAAACATCCTACACCTTACAACCTGGGAACACAATTTTAATTATATTTCCAAAACAACAAAAAACCAATCCGAATACTGAATAGACTTTTTCTTTTAAATGTTTATTTATTTTTACGAGAGAGCAAGAGACAGAGAGCTAGCAGGGGTAGGGCGTAGAGAGAGGGAGACACAGAATCTGAGGCAGGCTCCAGACTCTGAGCTGTCAGCACAGAGCCTGACATGGGCCTCAAACTCACGAACCGGGCAATCCTGACCTGAGGCGAAGTCAGGCGCTTCGCTGAGCCACCCAGGTGCCTCTGAATACTTTATTGAAAATGTTTGCCAGAAATATGCAGGTATAAAACCAATTAATTAAAATGTTAATATTGTTTATTACATATGATATGTGTGCTTACATACATGACTGCTAGTATCTGGTAATTAAATCCAGTTTGTATGTATTCAGTGAACAACTCAGTGCCTAGCATGGTTCATGCAGTGATTCCCGAACTCTAGACTTAGTTGACCAGTAATATTTCTTATAATATAGGGTTGCCTACTTTTTATCTTATCAAGTAAGAACCTAAAACCAAATAAAGAATTTTTATATCTACTTTATCATCATCAATTCAAAAACTTTAAAAACAATTAATATCAAAGTGTGGGAAGTAGTCAAGAAATGTTTCTCTATTTTCTCCATTACTTTTTTTAAAAAACAACTTTACTGGAGGCCTAATTTACACATAATAAAATGCACCCATCTTAAGTGAGAAAAAAAAAAGTAGGAAGGATAAAATCTTAGAACAGTTGTTAAAACCAACAGATTCAGTTTTTGAAGACTTCATGCATCTCCTTTAGTTTTCTGTTAGTGAAAATGACATCGGGGCTGGTCTACAGGTAGAATTTGGGATCCATGCACCATTCTAGGAGTGGCTGAGAAAGGATAAGTCTTCTCAAAACAGTGTAGGTAGAGACAGAAAAAAAATTTCCCCCTCTATCCTTCTAGAACCGTACCTCCTTCCCCTCAGTAAAAGATTAACCGGAGAAAAATAAAACCATTTTAATTATATAGCACACACAGGAACCCCACAAAGATATGAGGCTCAAAGGCAGCCAGATATTTGATGCTTATATACCCTTCTGAGTTAAGGAAAGGGCTAGGTGTCAGGGGCTGCAAAGGCAAGCCAGTGAAGGTAAGAGGAGGAAATGTTAGGTCAACAAAGGCTGCCTGGCGGGGAAGACCAGTTCTCTTTGTTGAAAAAATGATCTTTGGTCACAGCAGCCTTCCCGGCCTAGGCCCCTTTTCTAATGTAAATCTCCCTTACAAAAGGGTTACTCCTGCTCTTTTTTTTTTTTTTAATTGTTTTTAATGTTTATTTAAAAAATTTTTTTAACGTTTATTCATTATTGAGAGATAGAGAGAAACTGAGCATGAACAGGGGAGGGGCAGAGAGAGGGGAAGACACAGAATCTGAAGCAGGCTCCAGGCTCTGAGCTGTCAGCACAGAGCCCGACGCAGGGCTCAAACTCACCAACCGTGAGATCATGACCTGAGCCGAAGTCGGCCGCCCAACCGACTGAGCCACCCAGGCGCCCCTTTAATGTTTATTTTATTTTTGAGAGAGAGACAGACAGACAGAGGTAGAGGCAGAGGCAGAGGTAGACAGAGCATGAGCGGGGGAGGGGCAGAGGGGGAAGCCGACAAAATCTGAAGCAGGCCCCAGGCTCTGAGCTGTCAGACCCTTAACCGACTGAACCGCCCAGGCGACCCGAGGGTTACTCCTGCTCTTTTCAGAGCTTCTCCTGTGTTGCAGTTTCTCAAAAATAATCAGCTCAAAATAAGCATGCCAGCAAGGAATATTTGGGGTAGTATACTGTACTATTCTCCAACAGAGAAAATGCAGTGCTGGCCTTGAGGAGCCCTTCCTAGGGGCCCAGGAATGAAAGGTGAGGTCCCCAGCTAAGGCCTGATGATAGCTATGGGCTGGGGAGGGAATCACTCCTTCGTATGCATTTATTTATTTATTACCTCTTACCTGTCCACTTTTATCCTTTTTTAACCTGTTTAGCCTATCAGCTGATCACCGTGGTGATTGCAGCAGCAGGAGGTGGGCTTCTCCTTATTCTAGGCATTGCGCTGATTGTTACCTGCTGCCGGTGAGTGATGGGGGTTCACATTCTATTTCTCTTTGCCTCTGCTAAGCACAGGTCAGTTTTTACTCTTTTAAAGAATAGTTGGGGTGGTTCGCAGTATTAAATCATAATGTATGACTGAACCATTAAAAAAAGGAGAAAGGGAAATTCCTGATAGGTAGTGCCATTGAACAAAGAAAAGGATACCACATGGGACTTTATTTCCTTTACTAAAAGAGAATACCCAAAAGCACAAGCAACAAAAAAGTGATAGATTGGACTTCATCAAAAGTAAAAACTTCTGTGCTTCAAAGAACATTATCAAGAAAATGAAAACACAGGCCACTGAACAGGAGAAAGTGTGTGAAAGTCCTATGTCTAATAAGGGACTGTATCTAGAATATATTAAGAATTCTACAACTCAATAATAAAGATGCAACCTAATTTAAAAATGGGCAAAGAACTTGAATAGACATTTCGCCAAACGGGATAAACATATGGCCAGGAGGCACATGAAAGAATGCTCAGTATCATTAGCCATTAGGGAAATGCAAATGAAATTGCCATTAGATACCACTTCGCACCCACTAAAATGGCTATTTAAAAAAAAAAGAAAGAAAGAAAATAGCAAATGTTGGTGAGGATGTGGAGAGATTAGAATGCTCACACTCTGCTGGTGGAAACACAAAATGGTGCAGCGGCTTTGAAAAAGTCTGGCAGTTCCTGGGAAAGTGAAACATAGTGTTGCCATTTGACCCAGCACCTCTGCTCTGAGGTAGCTACGGAGAGAACTGAATATGTGTGTCTACACGTATCTACACAGAAACATGTACATGAGTGTTCATAGCAGCATTATTCATAGGAGCCAAAAGGTGAAAATAACCCCAATATCTACCAACTGATGAATAGATAGACAAGATGGGATATATCCACACAATGGAATATTATTCAACCATCAAAAGGAGCATAGTACTGACACAAGCTATAGAGTTTATGAACTTTGAAAATATTATACTAAGTGAAAGAAGTCAGTCACAAAAGACCACCTACTATATGATTCCATTTATATGAAATGTTCAAAATAGGCAAATCTAATAGAGGTCGAAAGTAGATTAATGGTTGTCTAGGGCTGGGGTGGAGGGGGAGTGGGGACTGGGGAGTAATGGCCAAGGAATAAGGGGTTTCTTTTTGGGGTGATGGAAGTGTAAAATTGATTGTGATGATGGTTGCACAAGTCTGAATATACTACAACCACTGGTGTGTACACTTTGGGCACATTTAGAAGCAAAGATGAAGAGGGTTACCTGAGACAATTTAGCAGTAAACAATTTGTAGCAGGCACATGGGGTGAGCAGGTGCTCAGCACGAGGCTTGGCTCTGGGCCTCCTGGAAGCCAGTGTGATTGAGTTTCTACTGGAAAAGGAAGAGAAAGGAAGGAGTTGGATTCTCAGTGATTATCTATTCAGATAAGGGAAAATTATGACCTCTGATTTAGATGATTATAAATGGCAGGAATTTCTCTGACGCAACAGATGGATGGCACTTCCCAAAATAGCAAGTTATCTTTTTGACCGTTGGCATGAATGACATTTTAAGATATCCTTCACCTCTAGGAAGGCTGCAGAGAGCAGTGTACCCTAACTGCCCATTCGGGAACATGGTCCTTTGCCTGTCATTTACAAAGTTACCACCAAATCATCAAAGACAAACTATGAGTGGAAATAAAATCCTGGGTATGAGACTAGAAGCTAGAGGGATTAAACCTCAAGGAGACGTAAGTCTCATATTTGCTAAGGGTGCACTACCAGGTAGTATAACCGCCTGGAGAAGGAGCCTGTGACCATGGGCTGCAAAGGGAAGGTGACTGTGAATTAGTAAGTCATTGTTTGAAACCGGATGCCCTGCCCTCCAGGGAGCAACACAGTGGCAGGTCTGTTCTTAACATGCAAGGAAAGACAACGCCTAAGCCACATGCTGGACATTTGGTTTTATGACCCTGAGTCATTTCATGCCTTCCCAGAAAGTTTATTTATAGGAAAGTGAGGTAAAAAGGAAGAAACTTAAGAATATCTTACCCAGGGCAAATGTAACTAAAAATGTCTGATCCTAGGCCCATTCGATAAGTGAATCACACATATTTCTTTTTTTTTTTTT